AATAATGACCAAGCTACTTCCTTGCACTCTGAGAAGGCTGGGTCTAAGGACTTATGAAGACCTAGGTCAGTGAGTTTCTCTGGAAATCCCGTGGCTAGAATTCATTGAAGAAGGCTTTGCCATTGACCTTTATGTTTGAAATCCTTTTGGGCCATCAGATATGCAGGAAGAAAGCATACACAATAATTAAGGCTATTGCCAAAAGATTGAGACGACAATGAAGGCAGGGTTGTCATACTAATGTAGCCGGCAAGGTGGATTGCATCCCATCATCTCGAGGGAATTTGAATGAAAATGACTTGGCAACATTTAAATTGATATTGGTAGTATTGGCAGGTTCACTTTTTTCTCTAGCCCAGCGATCGAGAAGGTCTTTGTCCGTCTGATTTGTTTAGTTGTCACAAGTATTATAAGGTAAAATGAGAGGTCTGAATCATTAATATCCTAATTACTTTCTCGACGTTTGATAGTGCTCCAATTGTTCCACATATCCCCTTCTCAAATTATAGCCGCGTGACCATAGCCGGGCATCCGTTTGTCCTATTTGTAAAATATAAATGCACTTTTTACAGATGAAATGATACGCTTCTAAAATCATTATTTAAGGTCAGTCTTTGTTAGGTAAGTTAAGGTAGACATTGTTCTTCAAAATTAGTTCGAATTTTAAACTCTTCTACTGAAATCCTGATGAGCTGTATCATCAATTTCAGGCTCTTGAAAATCCGGACAGTGAAATTATTGAAGAGCAGGCTAAAAATCTCCACAACCTGATTGGCCAATTATCTAATGCCAATCAAAGAGTCGCCGGTCTTCTGTTTCACCATTTGAAGAGGTAAAGTTTCTTGTTACCTGGATCCTATCCTAGTTTTCAGGATAATACAAATATAACTTTCGGGGTTTAACTGATACTTATTGATTTCACATTTTTCGCTTAGAGTATCATCTTTTGAATCAGTAAATCAAATGGGTGCTGCGAATTTAGCCACAATGTTCGGACCCACGGTCCTTCGGCGAAAGCCAAAGTTTGTTTTGTTATCTTACTCATTTGATTTCAGTATAAACACGATCAATACAATACATATTTTACTAACTGAATAGATTTAACGTGGCCAATATGATGGAGTTCGTAGACAATACTTGGTTGATGAAGGCGGTTGAATTATGTATTGATCGAGCATCTGACGTCTTCGGGCCACCATCGGAGTTCACTGTTGCGAAGTTGCTGAAGATCATTCGTGACAGAACTGCTGAGCGCCTCTCTATTGAATCGACAAGCACGAGTTCTATTGATAAGGAACTTCCATGTACACCAGCTAGTTCTTCGAACACACCAAATGTACCTACGCCATCAGCATCTACCTCGGGGGCGTCCTCGAAATCTGCCGCAAGAGAGGCTTTCTTTTCTGACATGAGTGGAGAGTCTACTCGCGCTTTACGTGAGTCGATGTCATCTTAAATCCCCACCATCTGTATACATAATTGAAGAGAAGTTTCCTAGTATGCAAGGCTTGGGTAGTCCTAGCCAAGAATTGTAGCTCATTTGAATGTCACACCAGTGTTCAACGTAGACTTTTATCCAATCAGCTTTAGTCGTTGGGCCTTACTTATCCCAATTGAAAACAATATTACTAATGATTGTAATACATTATATAAGCCATTCTATCGGTAGTTTCTCAAGCAAAATGAGATGCCCCTAACTGAAGCAGCAAACTCTGACTTCTGCTTGAAGTTTCTTCGTCCATAATTGTATATTCCACTCTGCTTTCTCTCCTAGGAGCCCTTTGTAGCGTACTGGAAAACTGCGTGCAAAGGCTTCAGAAGCAATTTCGTAGCATATTGTCTGAATTCCAACCGTTTGGTTTGATAAACGGAACTTAACTAATGATAAAGGGGACAGTTGCTACTAATTAGACCACCATGTCTCACAAAAATTTTTTCATTGTGGCTAAAAAGCTCAGACCTAAACAGAAAGCGTTTTGTCTCGAAAGCGCCTCACAGTCTGGTGAGTTGAAGTGGTGTTCGAAGGCACTAAAATAAAGAAGACCCTTTTGTGTTGAGCATGATTCCTTAAGAGAATTGCGAAAAATTCGGTCTTTGGTAATATTCATGCGCTCTTTAGGTATGCTGTGTGACAATGTAAAACCGATTACTACACTTACTAATAGACCAGTAGGTAACTGCTGGTCATTTGCGTCAAATTATCGATCGTTTAAATAATTCTGTAATACCGGTAATTGCCTTCGATGACTTTGATTATTGTAAATTTCATCAATCAATGGTGATAGTAATTATACTATTTTTTGAAACAGAAAATTACCATTTTCTATATTTTCTCTTAATCACAGAAGCCATGTCGCCCCCTGTCCTAAAGGTCTCATATTCCAGATCTGAACAACCCTCTCCTTCTCCATTTGATCGAAAATCAATCAGTTCTCGAACCAGTGAAGATTCCGGTAAATCCACCACCCCACTCTACCACCCCTCCGTAACTCTCACTATCCATAAAAGTCCTACAGTAAGTGAAACACCTACCTCTCTGGCAACCAAGTCTCAGGAATCCCTTCCTGAATCGAGCGGGGGTAGTAGCAGTGGTGGCGGAGGATTGAAACGTCTCCTCTCCACAAAGGCACAAAATCTCCACCAAAAATTGCAGAATTTCTCGGCTGAGAGCTCCTCTCGAGCTGGTCGAGTATTTAACACTCGAAAGCTACTTCATTCTTCATCTCTTCGTAATCATCCCAGCCAAGCGTCGTCCAGAAATTCTCCATCATCGGCTTCCACAACTCCACATATTCTCAAGGAGAAAACCCTAGAAGTTGACGACTGTAGCTACATTGACACAGGTCGTTAGTCCTCTGCATGCGCATTCAATCATGTTTCAGTTCATTTATCATTCTCCTGTACTATAAAATCTAACAAGCTCTCCATTTTCTCCCCTTTTCTCCCACTTCCACTATTTGCAGATTCCGACTCGTAGATGGTATATAGTAACGAATTTATTCCGCTATTGCATGCTGACGCTTTCAAAGCATACGCAATTTCATTTTGTGAAGGTCGCTTTGGTCTCGTCCTATTCTCCCCCCCCCCTTTCAGATCGAGCACTCAACCTCCGATGCAAATGACGCAACCTCCAACAGATTTTATTGCCTCTCTCTCTCCCCCTATTTTTCCCTTTTAAGTCACTTCTCTCAACTCACTTCATGTGTAACACTCTCATTGCTAAGACAGTATTCAGGATTGAGAAGAAAGATTATATTCTACTCTTATCCCCCCCCCCTCCCTCCGCCTCCGCTCCCTCCATCCCTCTTCTTCTTTGTTTCTTTTCGAATTATTATTATTATTGATTGATTGATTGATTTCATCTGTGTCTATTAAAAATTTCTTCAGTGAGTACATACTCAAAGTGTTACTGTCTTCAATTTATTTAAATTTCGAAGAAATATCATTCCACGCTAGTATGCCAATATACTTGCAATGCATTCAATGCGGGCAGCACCCAGATGACTGCAATGGAACTGTTGTAATACTGCTCGATTGAGTCATGGAAGTAGGCAGACTATCATACCGTCCATAAAGCTGCAGGAAATCGCCCCTTTGGCCTGTGCCTGACAACCCTCATGATCATATTTCAACGTCTTCTCCACTAATAAACTCCTAGTTGGGACATTTTGTCTATTACTTGTAGTTAGCATCAAACAAAAAGCATTACGCGTCCATTTCCATTGTCAGACTTGCAACGACAGTTTCATCGTCAATAAAAGTTTCTGGTTGGAGATGAGGTGGGAAAGATCATCACTTTGTTCGACTTCGATTGTGTCCCGATGTTCATGAGGCATAAAGTGGAATACTCTTTTTAAAACAGAAAAATTTCGTTTATAATCAGTTAGGGTTGGGGCAAAAAATGCCCACCATACAGCAACTTAATAGAACTTCCAATGCAAAAAATAACAATGGGGAAAAAGAAACGACTGTTTAATCAAGAAGCCTGACTGTAACTTCTTCCGCATTGGCCTGTATTGCGTTATCCTAACCCGTGTGCTTCATGGTGATTAAATGGGAGATCATTAGCATGGAAAGGATAAAGGAGGTTTGAAGCTAGTGATCAATGCCTCATCTACTTTGACCTAGAGTTCAGTGGAGTTAAAGAAGTTAATCTTAACCATGTGTTTATCAGTCTTAGTGCTTAAAATTGGTCGAAAGTAAGCGATCATAATTCCTCTTGATTGTCGTCCTTTTGGGGCAATGATTTGACCTTACTTAATTTAATAAAACGCCTGATCGAGCACCTGGACATATGTGCATCCGGCTCCCATTCCTTTCCCTTTCTGAGGAGTTTATACTCCACTCGTCTAGCAGGAGATCTGGGCGATAAATGTTTAGTCATTTACTGTATAAAGATGAAGCCGATCAGACGGCAGATAACCCTGTGGGTGGATTGAATAATAGGACAAGTCAAGTAACACATGCCGCGCATTCGTGGAAAGCATTCTTCCACACTCCCGATTGAGTTAATCTGTTACGATTAGTAATGTCATTCGGCTAGTGTTACCTTCCTTAAATCTAGCCTTGTGATTGTAATGATGATCATGGGTCCAATCACAATACCTCCGGTTTAACCTCACCCGTATACTCTCTTTAGCTTCTAACGAGTCACTATTCCTACAGGTTTGCACGTAAGATGTCCCAATATTCGTAACGTGAGAGAAATATCTACCGAGTACAATTTAGCAGCATTCGTACTCTGAGAAAATTTCCCTAACCGAATAACTTTGATCGATAGGAAAGTCAAAACGAATAGCTTCTCAGTCAATGACAATACAAAACTGACACTATCTATGCTTCTATAATAAATTTGAACCTCTAACTATTTAAACCAACCACCCGAATAGTTTCGAAAAGCACTTTGATGAATGATAAACTTTTTAATCTAAAAATACTACAGGTAGCAATATGTACATGCAAGGAAGTCTGTGGCTTATTCCTTGGGTTTCAAAAAGACACGATTTAGATTGAGATTTTTAGTAGTCTTTCCGAAATAGCTGAATGTAGGTCGAGTTGAGGTTTTAGTTCGAGAAGCAAATATCTCAATAGAGGGTTTGGGTTGAGTGCCAATTGAATTACTAGCGTCCGTGTTTTCAGAATTATGCGGGTGTTTCTCAAAGATCAAATTGGTTCCTAAGCAGTCTTCATAGGTGCCTTGAAATATCGCTGGTCCCATCTAAAAGCACAAAAAGAAGAGAATTACTAATAACTCAGATAATCCAAATGCTCTATTTCCGGATACTTCCATTGATAAAAAGAAGAGCACTTCGTGCAATACCTTATATGGCACATTAGGACTAAACGATATCAATTGGGTGGGCAACTAAGTCATTGCCGTTTTTGTTAACAGATTCACTCTATACTTTCTTTTGTTTTGTTAACGTGGCCAGAGCATCTAACCTATATTTTTTTCTTACTGTATGGGCTTCTAGGATAATAAGTAAAAATTTTTTTTGTTTAGTCCTTTAGTTTTGTTTATATCCCAATTTAAAAATGAAAGAACAGGAAGTGCACTTCCGACACATTTTATTGTATTACTCCCGAAAAGGCAAGAACGCATCGCAAGCACAAAAGAAGTTATGTGCCGTATATGGAGATGAAGCCTTAAAAGAAAGGCAGTGTCGAAATTGGTTTGAAAGATTTCGTTCCGGTGATTTTTCACTGAAAAATTCACAACGATCTGGCCGCCCAGTCAAAGTGGATGAAACCCATATCAAGGCCATTATCGATTCAAATGGTCACAGCACAACACGAGATATTGCAGAGAAGCTCAATGTGCCGCATACATGCATTGAAAAAAAAAATTAAAAACCCTTAGTTATGTCAAGAAACTTGATTTATGGATCCCTCACCAGTTAAAGGAAATTCATTTGACGCAACGGATTAGCATCTGTGATTCGCTACTGAAACCCAATGAGAATGATCCATTTCTGAAGAACCTAGTTACTGGCGACGAAAAGTGGATAGTTTATAACAATGTTACTCGCAAGAGACCATGGGTGAAGCAAGGTCAACCAGCCCAAACAGTATCGAAAACAGAGATTCACCAAAAAAAGATTATGCTGTCAGTCTGGTGGGATCATAAAGGAATTTTGTATTTTGAACTCATGCCGCAGAACCAAACGATAAATTCAAATGTGTATGTTGAA